AGAAGAAGAAGAAGAAGAAGAAGAAGAAGAAGAAGAAGAAGAAGAAGACAACGAGGAAGAAAAAGAAGGAAAAGAAGAAGAAGAAAAAGAAAAGTAAAAAATTGGCTGGTCTGTAAAGGCAGGGCTGTGAGATGACAAGAAATAGGCAAATCAGCGATAGAATTTTACAAAGGGGTTGCACAGTACTGAGTGGTCCCTAGTGAGACCTCAGCAGGCAGAGAACTAGGGGTATAAAATAGCATCTAGACTCTAAGAGGGACAGGAAGTGATCCTGTTTCTAGGTTTCCTCTGTGCCCTCTCCCCCCCGTAGATAGACACAGCCCTTAAAACACTGAAGCAGGCCTATACTAGGACACTTTCCTCTAATGCTACCAGGTGTGATCAGTTGTTTGCTCTCCAAAGGATCACCTTCACAGGGAAGAGGAACAGCACCCACCGACTCTGGCTAAGAGCACAAATTCTCCCTTTACTCACCGTCTGATGCTCCTGCAGACTTTGAAGTCAAACACAAAAACTTTTTAGTGTTTTCCAACTCCTCATCACTTTCCAAGTCTTCAGTGTTTTTTGCAGACTGATGGAAAAACAGTTTAAGTTTACATATGAGAAAGGAAAGTAACTATACCTGCTGATTCTTATTCCAACCTAGTTCTCAGTTGTGTTCAGACCATTTACATTCTTCTACCAGGAAATCTGTTAATATTTCCTGTTTCTCCGAAATTCTGTCTATAGGTTTTTCTCAGAAAAAGCTTACAGATATAATTCTTAAAGTATCTTCATATATTGTCATATATATACATACATATATGAATATATATATAGAGAGAGCTCTCTACACGTAATCTCCACAGGTAATCGATTTATATGTATATATTGAGTTATCCACAGGTACCCCATCAAAATGAAATTTCAAGGTTGGTCTCATATTTTCTTATGCTTCTATTTGTAATTCTTTTTTCGAAATAAATTAACACTAAAGTCAGTCAGTGACTAAGGATGACTGTCAGAATCAGCCCGGGAGGGAGGGGGAGGTTACTGCAGGGTCCCTCACCCAGTTGCTCTATACTGAGGAGCAATATACAAACACACAGCCACCACTGTCACAAAATAAATCAGGAAAGCGGGGCCCCGTTAATGCTGCCACAGGCTGTGCTCTTCTTGTCATTAGAGAAAAGCGATTCTTTAGAGATCTTACCTTGAGCCCCTCCCACAGCTTCTGTCTCATTTCCACGCCTTGCTTTTTAACTTCCTTCTCTCTACATTGCCTTTTGGCCAATATCTTATCAAATTTGTGCATCTTTTGGATAGCACTTTGAAGTTGGGCATCCAGTTTTTCTAATTTGAGATCAGCTGTGTTGTGTTAAAGGGAGAAACAGATCTGAAGGTTAATAAAAGAGTAAAGTTTTGTTTTGGCTTTACCTTTTGTTCTTTCTTTCAACAGATGCTTAGAGCCAGTGGTCACACCTGCTACGTTAGTATTGAGTACTAACTGTAAGCAAAGCGAACTCTGGAGTGTCTTTTCGTATAAATGTCTATTCACACTGAGAGGCAGGCACTTAAGGGCCCAGGGGATCTCTAGGAAAAAGTTACAGCAGCGGGCACAGGGGCTGCTCTTGTGATTTTAAGTCCCACGCTGGTTCTCTTTCATTCTACTAGACTGCCTATACCGAAACCTACAAAGTAAAAGGTAAATATTGAGACAGGACCCTATTCTAAACCGTTTTCTGTTAACTGAAAGAGCGGGTATGCGGCAGAGAACTGTAGAGGAGAGCACTCCATCCGGAGCCACGCAGACTGGCTCTGAGGCACAGCGAACTCAAGGGAGTGTTCTACGTCCACAGATGGGCCTTTCCCCACCCCCTCTCCTTTGCTGGCTTCCTGATTCACATAAAAACATTACTGAGAAGATGATAATTGGTGGTATCTTATTTGAGGTTAAGGGCTTTGGAAGCTTTGTCACTCGGGGTTTATTGACAACTAACAATAACAGAAACAACAGCAACCATCACGTATAGGCTTGCCCGATGGCACAGTGCAAAGCGGCGCATCCATGCACATTGCCCATCTTAGCCCACCGCGGTGGTCCTCCTCATCTTCCTTTCAATTAGTAAACTGGGGCAGATTTAAATCTGATTTACATGGGTCCCCAAAGTGTTCTAATTAATAAACCAAACAGTAAGCTCTGCCCAAATGTGTTGACTTCACAGTGAGAGCACTTAGCTCCCAGGCAACACTGCCCTTGTGAAAACTGATGAAAAGTGATCAACTTGAAATGAGCGTCGGTGCTCCAGTGCTGAGCCTCAGATGCCCCAGGTCGGATCTTCTAGAACGGTACACTACGCTAAGTGAGAGGCCAAAGAGTCTGGCGATGTTTGCCTGCAGCACACTTCTCTACCCCTTTAAGGAAAAGAAAGAAAGAAAAATAGAAAAAAAAACATTGATCTAATAAAGAGGTTTCTAAAATCATGCTGCTTGCAAAGATCAAATGTAATAGCTTCTAGTTTAATTTCCAGCTGCCAATCCTGGCATCCCCAGGCTCACTGTCATAAATAGCCTCTATGCCAGGTATTTTGAACTAACTCAAACAACACAAAAATAAAAACAAAAAAATTGATACTGGGACCTGGGCCAGACAGCTAATCTCAACTCTCTTAGCTGTTTCTTAACCACAATCAACCCTGTTCAAACTGGTGCCATTGTCTGAACTGGCAGCTAGGCCCCGTTTACTCACCATCATCTCTGGACCATCACTGCAAATGCCAGTACAGCAGGCAAAAACGCAAATGACACCTTGGCCTCCGCAAGAGTCTGAGACCCCACATCCCTAGAGGTCTGCACTTCACAACTGAGAAGTGCTGATCTCATTCAGTCTGGCCAGAATTAATTTAATATCAGAAAAAAGTAGCTTTTAAAATCTCAACATTATTTATCATCACTGAAATTGTCGTTAAAGAGTATTTATAAATGACCTGATACATCTTATTCTGCGACTTTAGCCATCAAAACTGATCTATGAATCATGCCATACAATATGGAAATCCTCCCCCCGATAAATGTAATATGAGCATAACAGTAATTTTTAAGTAACATGTTTGATTAAATTTCTAAATATATTTAAATACTCTTAATATTCTTATACATAAAAAACAGCGATTAATTTTTCACCAAAAGCATGTCTCCTCTTTGTACTTAACTGAAAAATGTATTTCTAATATTTTAAACACAGTATCTGTAATTGTCATTCCCCAATCGCCCAGGGTCATCCCACCTGGGTGCTCAGGGAATAGCTGACGATGGGCCAAGCCGGGGTCTTCATTTGAGCTCTCCTTGGCTGACTTTGTGTTTCTGAAGTACTGTGCCCACTTCTCATAATTACTACTACTTCTTCTTCTCTCCACGCCACTGTTTGAGGAGTGGCTCTCTGTACTAGAATTCAACTGGTTTAGCATGTCAATCTAAAAATAATTCCAACAAGAGAATGCCCAAAATATAATACTCAAAGACATTTAAAACAATAGCATATTTTCTTAAAACGTCACGCTTTATGGCACTTAACATTAATGCAAGCACATACAGAGACATGTAAATACACACACTAGCATCAAAGTTCCTGGACACATAGAGCCTTTAATAAGGTGCAATTTAACTGCAAAACAAATTTGATAATATTTCACTAAATAAATACCACTGTCCCACCATCTTAAATAATAATGGGGAAAACCGGCCCTGATGAGCCTCGCTCAGAAACACTGATCTCTGCTGTCCACTACAGCAGCTACCCCCCCCCCCCAGGAGCTGTTGACTGATATGAATGACTCAGAAGTGCCTATTTGGAATGAGATGTGTTTCTAATACGAGTCTTCTAATGAGACTCACATATTTTGGCTTTCTTAGTTTCCCGTTTTGTTTCAGCTTCCCTTTACACTTCAGCAAAATTCATTTTGAAAGCAGCAGTTTGGCACAGCTGTGCTTTCCTGAGAGAGGGCAGAAAGGGATGTTCGTGGATGGGTCAAGAAAAAGCACAGTTGGCAGAACTCAGAAATCTGCACAAGGCAATGAGAGTCACAAGAGAAGTAAATACATCCCAGGGAGAGCTGAGTTCTCAAAGGATCTCTCTCCATGGAGGACTGGCTACGCCGGCCCCCTGGGCCTCAACCACTGCAAGGTGCCCACATACTCAACCATAGCAACGGGCAGCCCAAAGACCAACCTCAAGGGCTAAAGGTGTGTGATGCTAAGAATTCAACTGACTGCTGTGCAGCACTCTTCTCTGTTGTTAGGCACCATGTGAACCAGGCTAGCCGGCCAGAAGCTGCAGGGAATTCTCCCATCTCCAACCCCTCCAGGAGCACTAGACATATCCGATGCACAGTGCCACACCCAGCTTCATGTGGTTCGGGGGGGAGGGGGTCGAACTCAGGTCCTCACACGTAACTCGTGAGGTAAAGTACATGACAGGTACTTTACCTTCTGAACTGTCTATGTTTTTAATATTGAATGATTTTCATAGTAAAGGCTGGTGGGTGAATACTAGATATTGGAGTAAGTTTCCTTATGAAGCCGAACAACACATGAACCTTAGTGAAGTTTAACATAGATTCAAAACAAAACAAAACATAACCTTTAAGAAAGGAGGAGGAGGGGAAGAGAGAGAAAGAACTGAGGGAACTCATCCCGAACAATCTACAGAAAAGCAGGAACCTGTGAATCCTCTCGGAAGCCTCCAAAGAGGATGTTTAAACGGCTGCTTAGGACAACCTTGGTTTCCTCAATTGTTGCTTTGCAAACAGAAGCTTACCTTGAAGGACCCAGGTTCTGGTGGGAGCACCTCCAGAGAAGCCGTTGAACTTCTGCTCCCTGGACATGATCTTGAACTTGAGGCTGGTTTTGAAATTCCATCCAGCTTTCCCTTTATAATATCCATTGACATCCTAGACTGAGCCAAAAGAATTAAGACGCAAGTGACGTAGAGGCCTAAATGTCTCACTAATCAATTTATGTTTACAGCCAGTTACTCAAAACCTATTCACTGCCAAAGTCACACATGTAAGCGCTCTTCATTGTCATCAGAAGGATCTTAGATACATGGATTATGCATCACAGACTGATAGCAGCTGAAGTGAAATGCAGATGTGAACGTTGTCTGTCCCAATGAAGGAAAAAAAAAAAACATATCAAGTCCTTGCTCTTCCCCACAAGAACACTCCAGGACACCTCTCTCAGCCTGGACTCACTGCCTCTTAATGACTTGCCAAGGCCTCCCAGCTACCTACCTCCTTCTGAGCGTGTCCTCCTCCTTCCAGCCATTCCTGTTCAAGGTAAGCTCCAGCCGCCTCTCCCGACCCGGCTCAGACATCGCCCTCCCTCAGTTTTCTGGAGCACCTTCCCCCACAGCACCGTCCTCATTTAATCTCCCTTCCTAAAATCCGAAGTTCTGTTTCTGACTGGCACAAGAGAAGAAAACCTACACCCTCTAATGGAGGCCTACACCCTGTAATAGAGGCCAGACTTACGTTATCTGGCTAATACTTTGCCAATCTCCTCCTCGACCACTTTATGCTTGGGACTATCCGCAGAGCTGTCTTCACACTAGCCACGTTATGTCTACTGTGGATTCCGGAGGCGAGACTAGCTTAAAGTAGGCAGAACAGCTTAATCTGGAGGGAGAAGATAAAGCCCACAGATATATCCTTCCAAACCATGCCCTTGACAAGAGACTGATCTAGACCTGACTGGTGAAGGTGCAACAACATGCATACTGAGAAACTAGAAAAAAAAAATGAGAAGATTCCAGCTAAAGTGTGAATGGATATCTCCTGCCAAATCTTTTCTAGATGCTCAGAATTATGTGCACGCATTAAAACGGCAATGTCCTCATTCTACGAAGCGGCTTGTCTTTCCTGCTGCCTGTGGACCACAGACTCGGGGTCTAGGGGGGCCTTGCACACAGAAGGAAATGCAGACACTAACAAGCTGGAGCTTCTCTCAGGCGCACTGGGGAATGAGACGGCTTGGCCTCCAACTGCTCGGTGTGCCAAGGGTGTCACTTTAGAGAACAGTTGGTCCCCTCTTCCCACTCAGCGACTGAAAAAGGCATTGATGTCAACATCATTCACACTCCGTAAAAGTGTTTGGGCTCACTCAGGAAGAGCCTGACATTGTTATTATGGAATGATGGATCACTCTGGCCCTGTCACATCACAGCTGAAAAGCGTAAGTCACTAAAAGGCCAAATGTTTTTTCCATGCCCTGAGCATCCTGTCAAGGAGGACTTCGTGCAGCCCTAGGGGAGCGGGCATGTGGCAGAGCCAATATAATACACGTCAGAAAAGGCCAGGGCATGGGGACCCATCCGTGACACGGATCAGCTGAAAGGCTCCAGAATCCTTTCCATTTGCTTCAAAAACTGCTCTGTTACTCTTATGTTTCCTCCTAAACATATCAAATTAAATAAACCACGGTTCACAGAAAATGTAACTGACAGACTATCTGTGTATCTGGCCATCTGGAAAAGAAGTCAGAAGAAAGACCATTGAAATGGGATCTGATGGCGTATTGTGTGTTTAAGAAATCACTTGTCACACAGAAATTCCACATGAAAAATGAAGAGGTGAACAAAAATAAAATAAAAAACACCCGATGTATAGACAATCTACATGTGCCCTGAGTGTGTGCTCACTAGTGTCATGCCTTCACGGAGTATGTGGGGTGGGAAACAGTATTCCAAAAGAGGAGTGCAGAAGAATCTATTATAATAGGAAATGGAAGAGGACATCCAAACTGGATAAAGCCAAACAATAGTTAAGTATTATATTTAAGAGTTCAAGATAGCTGCCTCCAGAGAATGTGACCAACAATTGCTGTATTATTTCTTCCACTGTGAATGTTATATGGCAGTTTAACATTTGGACCATATTATTTTGATAAAAGTAAAAACTAATTTTAAAAGTAATGAGTAAATATAAAATATGCAATCTTCCAGGGGCTGGAAGAAAACACAAGGATAGCTTGCAAAGGTATCAACGATAGGCCAGTTGTGGTGGCACACGCTTTTAATCCCAGCACTTGGGAAGCAGAGGCGGGCAGATCTCTGTGAGTTCAAGGCCATCCTGGTCTTTGTAGAGAGTTCCAGGACAGCCAGGGCTACACACAGAGAAACCCTATCTCAAAAAAATCAATCAATCAATCAATCAATCGATGATATACTAAGCATCTGTTTGAATGGAAATGGCCCCCATAGGCTCTTTAATACTTGGTCCCCAGTTGTCTGAACTATTTGAGGAGGATTAGTAAGCGTAGCCTTATTGGAACGGGTGTTTCATGGCGGAGTGGGGTGAGGAGGAAGTGCCCTTTGAGGTTAGCTCTCTCTGCCTTTTACTTTCAGATCAAGATGTGGGCTCTCAGCCAGAGCTGCTGCTATGCCTTTGGCCCACCATCATGAACTCTAACCTTCTGAAACTGTAAGTCAGCTAAAGGCTTTCTTTTATAAGTTAGGGACTCTGGACCAGGAAAGTGGTGGGATGCTGTAAACAGAGCTTAATGAGCCATCCTAGTAGGAGGTTAGAAGACAACAGTCCTGAGAGCGGTGAAGACTGTGGAGGCCCACAGATCTCAAGAGGTTTCAGAGGGAAACGGTACTAGGAACTGGGCTACAGAACATTCTTAGGATATCTTGCAAAGAATTGGGGCTGTTCCCTGCCCTTGTCCTAAAAATTTGCCTAAGGCAAAACTGAAAAACAGGGCATTAATTTCCTTGGCAGAGGAGATTTCGAAACAGCCTAACATTGACTCTGTTACGTGGTTATTAGTAATCACTCTTCCTCAGGTCCACAAAGAAAAGAGCAACTGGGACAAAAAGAAATGACCGTTTCATACATTCCCTCATTTGATGATCCACGAATGCCCATTTTCTTAGGGCCTTAAAAGAATCAAAATTAAAATATCAGTCCCCTGAAACAGTCAGTGAATTAGATATGTGAACAGGCTCTAACGGTAGCAAGTACCTGCTCATACATGCCAACGTTTCATTACATTTTTAATCAGCTCATGCAGAGAGTGTATCCCCAGATTAGTTTGCTGCCAGTCTGACTGTCTGAGCAGCCTATTCATATTCCCCAGGCTGATGGATAGCCAAAGATATCTATACGTTTGGTTTACATTTCTTCCATCATGAGAAAAAGATGATTACCAGCCCTCTCTCTATTTTCATTTTTTTTTCTGTGTCATAAGTATGTGCTGTTTAAGGTCTAAGCTCCTGACGAGTTCTCTAGACCTCAATGGCAAGAAGGCTTGAAAAGATGGACCAATGCAAATAGGATTTTCAGCAGAGACCATGATCTCCCCTGGAGCAGTAGTAGCTGGAGTCTCCAGACCTGGCCAAACCGCTGTGACCACCGCCCGGTTCTGGGAGCAGGCCACATACACCGCTTTGGCCCTGCCCCTGGGGGCTGAGTCCACCCTCTCACTCAGGTCCTGCCCAACAGACCACGACTCCACCTCGCCCTCACTCCGCTGGGCTGCCTGGCTACCAACCTCTGCCAGTGGTCTGTGGGATCCCTCACCTTTCCGGTGGGGACGAAGGCTGGACACCTAGGCACTCACTGGAGCCGCTGACATCCGAGCGTCACCCACTTTCCCCTCAAGGACTCGTTTTTTTTTCCCCCTGCCACCGCCGCCTCTGTGGCAAAGAAAGATGCAGCGATCCGAAACCCGCTGCTTCAAGGAACGTCGTTGCCCTGGCAACTAGACGCGCGCATCTCAGTCTCGCGATACCTGTAAAAGGGCTGTACCATTTCCGGGCCCCAACAGGCGTTGAGGACTGGAAGACTGTTAAGGTGGAAGAAGCTGGTAGGGGGTGGAGCTGTGACCTCTCCTAACCTTCTTTGCAATGAATGTTCTGGTGGGGAGTGGTTTGTTCATATTTAGTTGGACCCCGGAACCAGGATCCCGGTGTTTACATGGCTCTGACCAGCTGCTAGGATGTTCTACAGGCCAGCTGGCCTCTCAGCTCTTATTACCTCCCATGTCACTATCATTACTGCCTTGCAAGACTGATGTGCCGCTCAGAGAGATCTCATGTGTGAAGGTCATGTCAAATTTGGAGAGCTTTGTGTGTGTGCGTGTATTGTGTATGTGTGTGTGCGTATAATATATATAATATTAACATATAACATATTATAAACATACTTATATAATTTATACTGTGTATGCGTGTGTTTTATAAAGACTGAGCTGCAATAAAGCAAAAAGGATTTATGATGGCTTGTGTGCACCTTCATATGCATTGGGACTGAATCACCAAGCTGACCTCAGTATCTTCCAACACGGGCAGCGTTCCAGTCTGAATAGCCCTTGATTGCTTACAAGGTGTTTTTACACCCAAAGCTCCTTTGTCCCCATGCTTTTGGGTAGGTAGAGTATTTCTTCAGTCTTTTTCGTCAGAGCAAATAAGTGTAAATGGGGTGCCCAAAGAGCTATAATCTAAGGTAGCAGAGGGTAAACACCTGGCTGTAATTACCATCTGTGTGCTACTGAGCCTCTGTCTCTATCTCAGGCCAGCTGTCTCCCCTGAACCCCATTCCTTTTATTGTTTGTTTGTTGTTTTTCTTTTATTTGGTTTGTTGTTGTTGTTGTTTTATTTTGGTTTTGTTTTGGTTTGGTTTTTTGGTTATTACTGGTGGTGGTGGTGGTTTGAGACAGGGGTTTTCTGTGTAACACTCCTGGCTGTCCTGGCAACTTGCTCTGTAGACCAGGCTGGCCTCGAACTCACAAGAGCTCTGCCTGCCTCTGCCTCCCGAGCACTGGCATAAAAGATGTGTGCCACTGCGCCCTGAGAACCCCACTCTTTTATTGGGCCTCAGTAAGGCATGTGCCCTCGGCTGTGTGAGAAGCCTCTCACACTTAGAAAATCAGACCATTTTTCCGTAGTCCCCTGTCTCCACTCCATCCTGCCCAGATTAGCACATGGCAACCCCACCCTCCCCGGCTCTGCTCGGCAACTTTGGCGTCACAGGTCCTCATCGCCACCAGGTCTGCATGCATATGCATCCGAATCCAAATGCTCCTTATGCCTGTAGTGCTCTTGCCAGATGTTTGCAATACCACCCTGCAGTTCCTCTGGGTCCCAGCCTCCCTGGCACCTCCTGAGTTCTTAAAGCACACTGGCCTACGGCATGTGTTCAGAACCTCAAATCCCGCCACTCCTCTGCTCCAGGCTCCCCGTGGCTCTCCATTTCACCTTCCAATGCCCACAGGTCCTGAATGATCAAACTGTTGTCCTCTCTGCCCTCCAGTCTTGCCACCTTTTCCCTGATGAACATTGCTCTCGCCTCCATCTTCACCATGAATGCTTTTACAAGGAAGTTCTCTGTATTTCCCAGGAAATTTGTTTTTCTAACCACCAACCCCTTTTTAAGTTGACAAATCAAAGACATGGAAGGAAGTATTCTGCTTCTCGATGAGAATTAACCCTTAGCAGCCTGCATAGAGATGTAACTGAAGGAATGCAGGGATACCACTGCCAAAGCAAGAGCAGAAATAATGACACGAAGTCAGAAGTTGAATTCACCATTTCCCGGTACCCAGGTAGATGCAAGGGCAAGGTCATGGCATAGTTTAATCTGTCCATCATCCTAAGAGCTGGCATGTGTTTGTGCTGTGCCTGTGCAGGCAGGGAGGCATTTTTAGTGTTTTGTTTGTATATGGTTTTAAAAAAAAAAGTCTCACTGTGTATCCCAGGCTGACCTGGACCTTGCCACCCTCCTGCCTTCTTTAACACTAAGACCGTAAGCCTGTGCTTATGATACCCAGCTTGAGCTGAATCATTCCTGGGAATAAAATAAACATTAGGAAGCTTAGGCCATTGCATATGTTACACAAATCCTATGAACAATGTTTTAAGAAATAAAACTGGGCCAGGGCGACAGCTCAGCAAGTAAAGGCTGTGCAAGTCTGGAAACCAGAGTTCAAACCTCAGAAGCCATGTAAAGGTAGAAGAAAGGAACCAACTTCCAACTCAGTTTTTCTGACCTCCACATGTGCATCATGGCACATGTGCAAACATACGTACATACATACATACATACATACATGCATGCATGCATGCATATATACAGACATACATTGTAAGAAAAAGAACAAAGAAATAATGAGTTTGGTTCACAGTAAGTCCTTACCTTTACAGTTCTCAGCCCATGACACTGCTATATTAAATTGCTGGTAGATTTTCATGCTATGAAGAAAATGAAAAAGTATACTGGGGTGTAGTTCAGTGGGAGAGCACCTGCTCAGTGCGTGAGAGAGCCTGTGTGTGAGCCATAGCAATCCCAAAGCAAGGAGAGAGAAGTAGCCCAGGCTGCCTTTCCAAAGTGGAATCTAGGTATTGGGAGAGGATTGCACATCTGCTAATGCTCAAAGCACAGAATGTTCCAGCAAAGTTAAGTAAATGGCTGAGAGCATCCACTGTGCCTTCACTTCTCAACTTTAATGAATGAATTGAAATGCCAGCGAACTAACGGCCTCCACGGCAACTGTTTGTGGAAGTCACGTATTTAAAACATATCACCTGTGCTTCTCCGAATGGACACTGTTCAGGGATTACCTGGTTTAGTATACCTAAGCTACAATTCTGTGTTCTTTGTTCCTCTTGATATCAGTTGTCTCTTAGTTAATATGATATTACTCAGCTACTACCCAGTAATGGTCTCTGTGTTTTCCAGGTTTTGAATATAAATTATAATGCTAAATTCAATCATTTGGATTTGGGTTTTTTTTTTTTATTTGTATTTGGGTGGTGTTTGTTCTTTGGGGGTGGAGATTGCTGGAGATGGAAATCTAGGCTCTCCACATAGGAGTAGGCAAGTGTTCAGCCTCTGAGCAGTATTTCCAGCCCTAACAGTTCTTATAATTTAAACACGTGTTCCAGATAATCATAATAGTAAGTAAAAATAAGAGAGTGGGAAGTCTTTCAAGGCTAATTTAAGGGCCTAGAGGCATACTCACAGAATCTGTACTCAGCCTGTGTGAAGTCCTAGGCTTGATACGGGCATCAAAGTAAAAGAGGTGATGAGCAATGGCTGCTCTTCAGAGGACCGGGATTCAATCCTCAGCCCCCACATGCTGGCTCACAGCGGTCTGTAACTTGAGCCCAAAGGGGAATCTGATACTCTCTCTGGCCTCTGCAGGCCCTACACACAAGACATGCATACACGTAAACTAAAAAATAAGATACGGAAAACAAAAAGGTAATAATGAAGAAAGCACTATTATTAGGAGGGTGGTATTAAATAGGTGGGTAGCCCTAGATAAATTCATAAATATTTCTGGACCACATTGCCCTCACTTGGGAAACGAGGCTGGACATGGATTGGCGTTCTTAACTCCGCTGCACATTAGAATCACCATCGCATAAACCACTGACCCCAGGGCTGCACCTGAGAGCAAAGATAAGCACCTTCTCCACACATAGCTGTAAATGCATCACCTAAGGAGTGATCTTGATAAAATGCTGGCTCGGTCTCTGGTGGGACCCTCACAGGAGATGACAGGGCTCCTGGACCGCCTACTGCTTTTTGAGTAGCTATAGGTAGATCATCTCCCAGTGCCTACACACCGCTCCTGTTCTGTGAACAAAGGCCATTTTTTTTTCTTTGTGTATGTGTGCATGTATTTTGTGCAGGTCTATACAATGCACATACAGATGTGCGAATGTCACCCAGGTGTGACAATATGGGTGTGGAGCTCAAAGGGCAATCTCAAGTGCCAGTACTTGCCTTCCCCCTTGTTTGGGGCAGAATCTCTTTATTGTCTCCCCATGGCATATGTGAGACCAAGACTGGCTAGTCCATCAACTTTCTGTAATTTTCCTCTCCCTCCCTCCTGAGAGGAGCTCTGGGCTTAGAGGTGTGTATCACCCGCTCCAGCTTTTCTGGAGCTTTAGGGATATGAACTCAGTCTCTCATCATCAAGTGTTTCTGCGTGATAAATCACCTCCCAGCCACTCTCTCCAGTTTTTATATGGGGTGCTTTGTGAGACCTGTTAAAATTTTTTCACATGTCTTGGTGATGTGATAGAGGGAGACAACTCAGGAAATACAGAGCTGGGAAGCCTGCAGGTGATCTCTGGGGTCTTCCCTTTTTAAAGAGTTGCCTTCTAAAATACGTGCGACATGAGAACTACATAAACCAGACAGAAACAAAATTTATGTCTGTCACGCTGCAGTCATCCCATGCTAAGTTCTTATTGGTCGTATTTTGCACAAAACAGTCTTCAGTTCGTTTCTATATATACTCTCTCTCTCGCTTTATTTACTTTCTACTGTCCTCATTTTGAAAACTGCTCGGAGGCTGTGTGGACCTCGAGAGTGAACTTCAGTAAACTGAATTGCTCTGTATTTGTTCTTAAATTTTTCGCACATATTTCTGCATCATATTGAGGGCGATACCCTCAAAAACAGTTAACATTCAAATACGACAGAAAATGCCATTTTTTTTTCTACGCTGTGTTTTCTACGAGTCTGTGTTCTTCTGCAGATATTCTTTTGTATAGTGTTATGCTTTCAGGAGTAATTCATAAAGAGTTTTTGTAGAATGAATGTTTTTTTTACACTGAAATTTCCCCTGGTCTTATTCCAGGGTGGGGACATACGGCAGTGTTGATTTTGGAGTTAGGTTTTGTTTTTGTTTCCTGTCTTTCCCCGCT